GTTAATGTATGTACTGTAATGCAGTCAACTCCAGAGCTGTCGAGGTGGATCTCACCATCCCCATCGATGTGGACATATACCTGAGAGAACTAGGGGAATCGATAATTCAATCCTGTCAGATAAGACTGGAATCAATTCGTTCCGACGGGGCTGCAATTGGCTGAAATGGTCCCGGTCTATCCGTCACATCTCTATCTGGAGAACTCTACTGATCAGCAGAGCGGTCGAGTGATTTTGTAGGTTTAAATCTCAAGCATTCCTTATAACAGAATACTCCATACTGAACGTGGGCATTTCTCCCGTAGCAGAGTCGTTTTCTGTGCCGTAGGATCAGTTGTCGCGTAGGTTGCCCGCCAGCAGTTTAACATAGCCATGATCCTAGGCTGCCGTTGGATTTAGATTTCGGAGGCGAATCTAGTACGTATCTGTGAGCATTGCCGCATTTTCATGCAAGAGATCTTTTAATGTGCAACTCTCAAAGTGCAAAGAGAGCCGAAAGACGACAGCAAATTAAAAACGATCGTTTGAATTACATTTACAGAAAAGACATCTCGGTTGTCGCAAATAAGGAAAACCTGACTGAAGACTGAGCAACGGAGTGCGTGTCCACGAATGCTTACATGTCAATTGCTTGAATGAAATTTTCGAACGAATGTCGATCGATACGGAGTAGATGGTATTTGCCATGTCTATGGAACACCACGCTTTCGATCTAGGACATGGTATGCAGGATTGATAAGGTCTAGGGGATAATAGAAATGGATGGAATGGGAAATAAGTTGTAAAGATTTGTACCTATAATATTGATGGATTGAAAGTAGCTCGCTTCCCAATTCGTGTCTCGTCTGGTAGAGAAGAGTTTGGTGGACTGAAGACAACCAGTATCGGGGCTGTGGCAGAGTTCCCGAAAGTAGTCCGAGTATATTACACGAAAGTATTCTGTTGTATTCCAATGCCAAACTTGTACGAACCTGTTTCGGTGGAACTAACCGCGCAAGTCTATTCAGATTGAAACGCATCATAAAGAACTCGCAAGGTACGATTCATGTGTCTGGTATGACTAAATACAACAATAAGTGAGTCATAAATTACGCGGGTGATGTTTCAAAAATTATTTTCTATTTATATTAAATAGAAAATCGATAATAACTCATAACAACATTGGTAATCCGCAGGCAGATGAGAAATTCCTACAACACTGATGCCAGAAAGTATTAAAACATTAAATGATAACCATATTCATTCAAGATTTTTCTCATAGTTTTCATGAAAGACTGATAGGATGGTCTAATGTATGCACAAATTAGATCAATTGCGGATATTTCTCATGCCAGTGAACACGCTGAGTTCAAACATCTAGGTTCATTTATATCACTAGTCAGGGCCACTGAATCCACATTTACAGGAAAAATTACAAATCTTGTTTTTGAATATTGTGCTATTTCCCGTAATGAGATGTGATTTCGAGTGCCATAAAAAATAGTGGGTATACTCAAAGTAATCTTGGTAGCCCTCAAAAGTAAACACGGACGCACCGACGATGAGCGACCACGAGTTGAATTGCTTGTTGTTATCCTCACACCTTAAGTATGATTTAAGTGGCCATTGTTGGACTCTTCAATGTGGAATAATTGCTGCTCGTTTTCTGGAACGTGCAATGAACAATAAACGTCTGCTAGATGATCGACTATCATTGAAGGAAGCGAATCGAGTCAGTGATAATTTGTTCTTTCCGGAGTGGCACACTGTTTGGTAATTTGGTGTGAAGTGATAATAACACAGTGAACATATGCGATCGAGGATGACCAGTGAAGTGCTGTCGCTTTACTCCAGCAGCCTTCACTGTTAAACGATAAGAAGCTAGTTGCTTTGAACAGTATCAATGCGCAGAAATTACTGGTACATGTCCTGTGGATGGGCAGTCAAAGCAGAGATCCAAAAGTCACCCTCAAAGTCGTTTTCACTGTTCAATTTTTGTCAGCGTAACATATACACATTGGCATGTACTAAATTGCTCATTCGGTTCGACAGATGCGCATCAGTCCCACTTATGTGCATGCTCTTTCAATGTAAAGTGGCACGTTCCATCTGAAACGAACCGAATGAGGTCAGTACTGATCCCTCTCGTTGTTTTGCATATCAGATTGAGAAAGCACGATATTAACTCAGGATACACTTGTCAGTTCAAGCTGTTCGGTCACCAGGTGAACAGTATCTTATGAACTACAATGACAAACGGTTAAACGAACAGATTTGTCCCTGTAACTGATTAGGTAACTTAACCACGGCAATATCTATTGAGTTAAGTGATAAAGCTATAATTACTCATCAACATCTTTCCC